TTACCTATTTAATAAAAGCCCTAGCCCCAATTTCTTTTTTCCCTTGAAATTTTAATCCTAATCCTCAAAAAATGATAATTTTGAGCTTTTAAGGTTGAATTTTGAATAACTTGAATTAATTGATAATGGAGAAAATAAGTTTAAAGAAGGTAATATGGTTCCATACTTTGTATTCTTTAGATGATAAAAGTAGATATTTTTGAATTTCTTGGTTTTGAAACTTATATTCTGCTTTTGATAATTAACTCTAATGAATGCTTGTCTATTATGCTTCGCTCTGGACTTTAGCTGAATGGAGATAATTCAAATTGATTGCTTGATGGTTTTGGCGTTGAGATACCTCAAGTTCAACTGGTTTCTAATGCACGAACCGGGCCTGAGGCTCAACGGTTTGTCCCCAAACCTTAGGGCTTGGATGAGGCGGAGGTCAGGGTTTCGAACTCTGTCACCGTCGTGAATTCCACCAACTTGCGGCCTAATGGCCGCGCGCCTCATCTGAGGGGTGGAATGTTCACAATTCTAGGAATCCCAGTTGTTAACAACTAACTCTACTAACTTCCTAACCATTACTCTGATAAAAAAAAAAAAAAAACTGGTTTCTAATGCAACTTTAAGTTCCAGTCACCATGGGTTGTGGGAAATGCTATTTATTTCTTTTGCAATTTTTTTTTTATAAACAAATTTACAAAGAGTCGGATTCAAACCGTAACCTTGAAAAAAGAAAATGCACTTATACGTGACCTGACAGCATTAGACTCGAAAGCCCAAGGGCTTTCTGCAATTTCATTTGTTTGTTCAGATGACAAACATTTTAATTTCTTTTTGATTTTAACTGCAGGTAAATGATTGGAAATTTTAAGGTAAATGATATTTATTTCTCAATTTTTATATACCTCTTCTCTAAACTCAGTGACGAAGTTATAGTATAAGGATGACTATGAACATTTTTTTGCATAGTAGAGGGACGACTTTACGAGGTCAAATCGGAGTGTAGGAGGGGTTTGTTGGCTTTAACCCAATAAAGTTCCAACCGCGCGCCTCGTTTAAAAAGATGAAATATTCGGATCGAATCCTAATAGTTAACAATTAATTTATATTAATTTTTTAATCATTATCTTATAAAAAAAAAATTCCAACCTTCCACTGTGGCTTCGACGCTAAATATACGACGCCGGCGACGTTTCCCATCATTCACATTTCCTTTCTCTTTGGACAAACATGGATGCCGAAGAGGGAAGAGAGGAGGAAAGAGTCAACCTTGCAGATGATCCTTCCAACAGAGCGATGGTTCAGACAGATCTTCATCTTCTCTCTCGGGAGATTCTACTCGAAATCCTATCAAGACTCCCGATCACCTCTCTGATCCACTTCAAGACCACTTCCCATGCCGGCTATGATTTAATTGCCGATCCAAGACTCCCTCCGATGTTCCACAACCGGGTAAGCAACTCAAACCCATGTCTGATTCTGTTCAACAATATCCTTGCCTTCTCGCTCTGGGAGCTCTATTTTGTGGATAATGAGGACTGTAGTGGAAGGGTTACGAAAATCGACCCACCACATCATTCAGAAGTGGATAGTCTGGTGGGTTCATGTAACGGGCTGTTATGCTTATCCTTTCCCACAATCGGTGGTTCATCGGAGTTTCAGAGTCTGCTAATTTACAATCCTTTTGTTGGAGACGCTGTGAGAGTCCCACCAGCGAACCGATTTCTGAATCAAAGTGAAGTTTTTGGATTTGGGTTTCATCCGAGGACAGGAGAATTCAAAGTGGTCAGGATTGTGTGGGACGAGTGGGCACTAGATGTGGAAGAAGTGGATGATGAATCAATGGTTCAGGTGTTTACCATAGGAACAACAGAGTGGAGAAAGAAAGGAGCTCCGCCTCCACAATTGGCGTATCAAATGAAACCACCTGAGGCTCTAGTTGAAGGATCTCTCCATTGGGTGACTGATGTTGGGGTGGGAGTAGTAGGTCTTATCTTCGGTATTATCTCCTTGGAGCTTGCAGATGAGGTGTTCGAAGAAATTCCGCACCCACCTTGTCAACGATTTGTGTCACGTGACTACAGTCTTTCCGTGCTCAATGGGTGTCT